TCCAGCTGGACCTCAGTTCGGGGTGCCGGTTGCGGCAGGCGGGCAGTGACAGGCGGTGTGTCCCACAGAGGAGCAGCGGCAGCACCCTGGCCTGCAGAGCCAGGTCCAGACAGTGCTGGTGCGCATGGGCGGCCTCTTCGTGCTGCTGCTGACGGTGGGCCGCTGGCTGGACCTGCTGGGTGTCCTCATCTCCCTGCTGGGCGAGCTCTGGTGCCTGGTGGGCGTCCGCACTCTGCTTGACCTCTGCCAGAAACAGGTGGGCCCCCCACCCTGCGCGTCCCCTACACACTGACACCTCCTCCTGACAGCCTGGGAGCCTCCCCGGGCCCGAGTGTAAGAAGAGCTGGGCCCTCGCCGGTTTGCTCAGTGCTGAGCATGTCGGCCCGTGGACTGAAGGGTCTTGGATGCGATTCCAGTCAGGGGCACGAACCTCGGTTGCAGGCTTGATCCCCTGTCCCGGTTGAGGCACGTTCGGGAGGCAACCAATCGATGTGTCTCTCTCACATGGATGTTTCTCTGTCTCCCCCCCTCCCTTCTACTCTCTCTAAAAATCAATGGAAAAAATACCCTCGGATGAGCTGGGGAAACCTCTCTTGGGGTGGGGGCAGGAGCTTGGGTCCCCTCTCTCACCTGGTGTTAACCTTTGACCTGTGACCCAGAGGCCCTGAATAGGAGGAAGGCCTTGAATAAATGGAGGCCTGAAGCCCCCCCAGGGGACGGGGCATTGGTGGGGTATCCTCCATCCTTTCCTCCCCGCCTTCCCTCAGGATTTTCCACCCCAGAGGCCTTCCGTGTCAGCTCCAAGCCAGCCCCAGCCCTCGGCACCTGCCCAGACCCAGGGGACGGCCCCTTCCTGACCTGCCCCAGAACGGACTTCCGGACCCACCCAGGCTCACCTGGAGGCCTGACACCAGCACGGTGCCCGGAGGCAGGGGGCAGGGTTGGCCCCACCTGGAACTCGCACTGGAGCCCCTGAGAGGGACGGAGGATTTGGGGTTAGGAGGGGGCACCTGGGGCCACTGGGTTCATCCTTTACTGGGGTGGGCAGGGGCACACAGCCCTGAGACCTGCCCCAGGGGCCTCCCCCTACAGCCTTCCTTCCTCTCCTCAGACAATAAAGGTGTTTTTCTCACCCTGTGGCTGGAATCATGAGCATGCAGAGGAGCAAGGCCTTTCCCACCACACAGCTTCCTGGCCGGGTGGGCTCCTGGGATATGTGTCAGGAGTCGACTACTGAGGTGGCTGAGGAGGCGGTGGGGTGCGGCGGATGGACACATGCACGAGCACCCACTTGCATCTTGGGGGGATGATGCTGTTCTGTCCCATCCTAGGCTGAGGCACAGCTGAAGGGAACACAATGCTGGAAGGGCCTCTCGGTCCCCACCCGCACCCTGGCCTGTCTAAGCCCATGAGGATGCTTCCTGTCTCAGCTCCGTTCAGCCTCGTGTCCCTGTTTTTCCAGCGAGTACAGAAGAAAGGCTGAATACCGACCCCTCTGCTGGCCTGCTGTGCACCCTTGGGTAGGCTGCTGTCCCCCTCTGAGCCTATCAGAACAGCTACCATGGGTTGTGTGCCTTTTTAATCATCTCATTTCATTCTGACATCAGCCCCAAGTTATCCCTTTTTACAGATTCAGAAACTGAGGCTCGGAGAGGTTAAATAACTTTCTCAAGGGCACACAGCTAGTTAGTGGCGAAGTCTGGGTTTGAATCCAGGTGGCCTACCCCCAGAGCTCAAGTGCTTTGCATGCTTCCTGCTACCCTCTTCTTGTTGAAGAATTGGAGCCAGAAAGACTAACAGTGGGCATGACAAATATGGCCGGTCCATTCTTGGCAGGTTCTGGAATGTGGCTCTGGCCACCTTTTGTCCGGGGTGGCCTGAGGCTCCATCACAGTCATGTTCTCCTGGCCCAGACTCCCAGCCCCACAGGGCAGCTTGGCTCCCTGGGGACTGAGCTGGGGCTCCCTCCCAGCAGGGGCCCCATGGGGCAAAGGAGACGGCCAGCCAGGGCTTCCAAGGGGTGGTGAGGCAGCTCTGGGGATTGAAGGCTGGAGAAGGTTCTTGGAGGGTTCCTGGCTCCGACGGGTCTGGCTTCTCAGCAAAGGCCGCCACGGTCACCCGAAGGCTGCACTGGAGCAGACAGTCCGGCCTAGGATTTTCCACCCTCCACCTTGGGGCACCCTGGGACACAGGGCAGGCCGGCCCAGGCTGGATGGGGGGTTCCAGCTGTCTCCTCCAGGAGTGGCCACCCAACTCACAGCTTGAGCCCCACCTCTGACCCCTTGCTTTGTCCTGCCCCCAGAAGGGGCCTCTGGGCCCCAGAGTAGCTGAGGTGGGGACAAGGCTATGGGCCCCTCCACCGCCAATATAGGACCCAGCCCCCTCGGCCTGTGAGGGCGCTCAGCTCCCTCTGGGCAGGAAACCTGCCCCGTCTAGGAGGAAATGGCACAGTTAGGTGGGCACAGGGCCAGCCCCTTGCTGGACCTAGACTGGGCACCAAGTTCCAACTGTTCTGATGTTTTTACTGGAAGGTTCCCTGACCTTCTGGCCCCGTATAGCCTAGCACCCAGAGGGGACAGGCTGGGAGGGACTGGACTCGAGGTCCTTTCCTTTTTATGGGCACAGGGACCATTTTCCAAACAAAACCTGGGCCACGTGGGCTGGAATGGGATTCTTTTCTTATCTACTCAATTATTTTTGTGAAAAGTCCAACAAGGGTATAAACATTAGATCACTCAAGAGAGGCATTTAGCAAATCTACATTCCAAACAAAGAGAAATAGGGCTGAGGTCCAGAGGGCAGGGGAGATGCAAAGGGGTGGCCTGGAGCAGGGGCATGACTCTGGGACTTGATCCCGCAGAGACCTCGAGAGCCCACGCCTGGGCCCTGACCAGCATCTTAAGGAGGTGGGAGACCACAGCGTCCACTCCCTGCTATCTGGGCATGATGGCAACCCCTGGGGCAGCTGGGATTGGGGCGAGCCAGCCACCTCCCTCCTGAGCCCCCTCACACACACACACACACACACACACACACACTTCTGGCTTTTCTGAGCTATAGCATTGTCCCTCAGGGTGTCCCGCATTCCTTTCTCTATTTATTCATTCACAAATAATTACTGAACATCTGGTAAGGGGATAGAGTGATGGGGGGGCTACAGGGCTAGGGAGGGTATTTTGTTATTTACAGCTGCATAACAAATGACCCCAAAACCAAGCAGCTTAAAATAACAGACATTTATTGTCTCACTTTTTGTGTGTGTTGGGAATCAGGATGCAGCTTGACTGGGTCTTCTGGCTTAGGGTCTCTCACAGGCCACGGTCAAGATGTTGGCAGAGGCTGTGATGTCATCCTAAGGCTCGACTGGGGAAGGATCCAATCCCAACCTCACTCCCATGGTTGTTGGCAGGATTCACTTTCTCCTGGGCTACTGGGCCTCGGGCCCGGTTTCCCCTGTGGCTGTTGGGCAGGGGGCTCCCTCTGTTCTTGCCCATGAGCCTCTCTATAGGGCAGCTCACAACCCAATGGCTGGCTTCCCTCCAGCAATCAAGCAAGTGAGGGAGAGAGAGAACAGCAGGACAGAAGTCACCATCTTTTCGTAACCTCCCACTGCGGTTTCCCCTGTGGCTGTTGGGCAGGGCGCTCCCTCAGTTCTTGCCCATGAGCCTCTCTATAGGGCAGCTCACAGCCTGATGGCTGGCTTCCCTCCAGCAACCAAGCAAGTGAGGGAGAGAGAGAACAGGACAGAAGTCACCATCTTTTCGTAACCTCCCACTGTTTTTGCTGTGTTCTGTTGGTTAGAAGCAAGTCACCCTTGAGAGGAGGGGGTTATACAAGGGTTTGGCAGAAAGTGGGGATCCCCGGGAGCCACCCTAGAAGCTGCCTTCTACAGAGGGCTTCACTGAGGAGGCCTGGATGGACCGAGGGAGTCAGCCACGGAAAGGCTATCGCTGAGGCTCTCACTGTGGCTCAGTTAGGACCCCTGGGTTTCTGAACATTTCTTATAAACTTGACCTGTTCAGTGAAGGGGTTTGGAGGTGGACCACCTGGGCTTCAATGAAGCTTACTAATGGACGTGACCTTGAGCAAGTTACTCTCTGATGATCCCCCTGTGTTTCCGAACATTTCTTATAAACTTGACCTGTCCAGTGAAGGGGTTTGGAGGTGGACCACCTGGGCTTGAATGAAGCTTACTAATGGACGTGACCTTGAGCAAGTTACTCTCTGATGGAGGTAGGGCACTTAACCCAGAGCCTGTCCGTGGCCTCCAGTGCCCCTCACCCCAGAAGGGACTAGAACTCCGCCTCAACCACACCTTTCTGATGTGAGTAAGGAGACAGGGAAGGAGGCACTGGCTCAGGCGATGGAGCAGGAACCGATGTGGGGAGGGGTGAAAGGGGGGTGAAGGGGGGTCCAACCCAGGCAGAGAAAGATGAGCACATCTGCATTTCACTTGCAGAGAGCTGTCAATAGGCAACTCTCCTTGAGGAGTCACAACCCCGTGCTGCGCATTTTTCTTGCATTATCTCCCCGCCCCACACCCCCCAGCCTTCAGAACAAGCTTGTCAGGAGTTGATTACTGTTTTCTCCCCAGGAGAAAACTCAAGTTCAGAGAGATGAAGTGACTTGCTCAAGGTCACAGTGCTAATAAGTGAGAGAGCCAAGATCCAAATTCAAGTGGGTCTGACCCCAAAGCCCAGCTCACTACATTTTACAGACTTCTCACGTGATCTGCATATCAGCTGCTTAAGACCTACTTGTGCCCCTCCCATATGCCAAGCACTGAGCTGGGTGCTGGAGAGTCATCAGACACAGCCCTGTCCCCCTTCTGTGGGGAAAGCATGTTAGTACAACCCCGCAGCCTGGGGACATAGCCATGGGATGGAGACGACTCCTAAGCCTACCTGGAGGAATCAGGGCAGGCTTCTCAGAGGCGGTGATAAAGGTGCAGAGTTTGCCAGGAGAAGGAGGTGATCCAGACCCATAGAGTCTCACCCGTCTTCATCACGATTCCACTGTAAGCAAAAGAAACACACTTTTACCTGGTTGGGGAGACGCGGGGTGGGTGGAGGGGGGCTGTTGGCTAACTTGTGGGTAAGCCCCACCTGACCTGGATGGATAGCTTCCTGCAGCTGCACATCTGGGCAGTGCCAGGCTGGGCTTGACGTCTGCTCTGACCTGGCCCCAGCAGAGCGTGTCAAGGGGAAGGGCTGCTGAACAGACGCTTCCCTTCCTCAGCCTCTGGGCCCCGAGGACTGAAGCACAGGAACCCTGTCCCTGTCGGGGCTCTAGCTGCAGAGCCTGTGGACCACGTGGGCGGAGCTCCGGAACCAGGCGAGGGCGATGGGAGAAAGCCAGTGCCACATTCACGGAGTGGGACTCCCACCACGCGTGAGGCCTCTGTGCCCGGCGGCTCTGCTAAGGGAAGCATTCACGTCCCCACTGCAGGGCGTCCAGCCCAGCTCCCGTATGTGACAGGTGAGGAGAGGGAGCCTTGCAGTGGGAAGGACTTGGTCAAGGTCACAGCCAGCACCAGAGAGCTGGGAGCTAAGCCTAAGTCTGACCTCAAAGCCCATGTTTTCCCTTTTGCCTCTCCTTCCCTGACCTTCTCATGACCCCTCCTCATCTCTGTTTAAATGTCAGCCGCCCCCTCCCCCGCGAGAGGCCTCCCCTACCCTCACCTGCACCTTGTTCATCCCTCAGAGCACACGTCACCACTGGTAATTACATTAATTGGTATTATGTGTTGATCGCCCCACCTCTCCGTAAGCTCCATGGGGACAAGGATGGATTGTGTCTGACCTGATTCCCTCGAGCTCCTAGTCGCTGCCCATCAACGCTTGTTGGATCGAAGCCCTCCTCCTGCTGGCGGTAGCAGGTGCCGTGCTGCCCGCAGGCTGGACAGCAGCCAGCGCCCCCCCTGCTTTGGGTCTTGCCCCCACACCTCTCTCCTACCCTTCCCTGCCACCCAGCGTCTCAGCTGCCTGAGCCCTAATAGAAGATGGAGCCCCTTCATCAACTGCTTGGAAGAAAGCTGGTCCGAGGCTGGCAGGCACGGAGGAGGGGAGCGGGGCCTCTGAGCCGGCGGACAAAGGGCGTGTGTTCTCACTCAGCGCACTTCCTGGGTTT